TATTTCTTTTGATTATAAATAGTGTTAAAACGAAGTGGCTCAGGCTTCTCCAGATTAAATGCTCTTTATATTAAATTTTAACATTCCTATATCTTTTTATAATGTTGCTATTATTTTTCTAACATTTTATCTTTACACATTTTATTTAAATTAGTTCTGGTTTTCCCTTGTCTTGATGCAAGTTATTTTTCTTTTATTTGTATCAAAGACAAAATAAAATCAGTTTTTTTAATCACGTACTTTTAGTTTAAACATATTTATTTTACTTTTCTCATTTATGTTTTACTGCTTGGAGAAGGTGCGTTTGATTTGTTTACCTGTTTCCCCTCAGGAACCGGAGTGATGGTCCCGTACAGAGCGACAGTACTCTCTGTGGACAGCAGCAGCCCGTTGTAGCACTGACACTAAACAGGAAAAAACACACACAGGTTTTATTATTTAAATACGTTTTATACAGAAGGAACAGAACTTGTTTGAGATTTTCTAAAAGTCTTGCAGATTTTCTGAAGGTCTAAATGTTTTATGAAACTTAAAAGAAAAGAAAATATGAAAGTTTGGATCAGGAAATGCAAAGTAACGACAGCTGGAAACAAGTTTTACCAGTTTATCAGACAGAACACACTGGAGGAAACCAGTTCCATCCCTCAGCACGATGAACATCAGGTTCTTCCCTGCAGGAAAAAGGAAAGTCCAGTGAATACTGGCTCTCATCCAAGCCATGAGGTGCGTTTGATTCTGCTGCGATTCTCACCCTGCCTCCGGAGGCGGTGCACCCATCCGAACACCTTCACCCTCTCACCTCGCTTGGCCTCCAACATGTGGATTTTCACCTGGAAAAACAAACATGAGCGACATGTTACAGCTCCACCCAAACAGGATTTCTGGTAAAATTTGCCTTTGGAGGACATGAATTCATGGACGTGTTTATAGGCAAAATTAAGACGAAGCAAAGTGACCAATCTTCCACTTCCTGTGAAACTTTAGTTGTTTATGAGCTGAACTGATGGGAGTGCTGCTTAATCACTGCAGGAAATAAAATATAGTATTTTTACAAACCTTAAACCAAGAAAGATAAAATGATGATAAAATATTTTGTAACTGAGGAATCTAAAAATGGTTTAAAATGTCAAAAAAAAAAAAAAAAAAATTATATGTATATATATATATATATATATATAAACTTCTGGTCACATTTGTAAATTAAATCCATACTTTCAAAAATTCATGTTTCCATTTTGCAGCTTTTTAAAATCCAATCTCAAACTAAATCCTTCCACTTCTTGTTTTAAACATGCAATCGAATAAGAAGAATGAGAAGCAGGAGCCCGACCGTCTCAGGCTCAGGAAGGTTCGGGTCGTTCACGATCTCGATCTTCTTGGCCTCCTCCAGGTTCTTCTCCCTCCTCTCGTTGTCCTCAGCCTGCATAACAAACAGAAAGACACAGTCACAGGCACAGTCGCCACCTGGTGGATAGTTTTAGTAATGACACTGCGTAGAAACCGAACCACAAACCTCTTTCTTGTCTTTGGCGTCGTTCTTCATCTGCTCGCGGTTGAAGGCTTTCTTAGCGTTCTTCATCTGTGTTTTTGAGATCACCGCCCAGCGCTGAAGACAACACAGCAAAATCCAGAGGTTTTTACTAAATTTTATTTAAACAGCTGGAACAAACCAAGCTGCAGTTCATCTCTCCACCAGGTGGAGGCGCTGAGGCAGGTAAAAACAGCTCTGAAGCTCATTAGCTGCATTTCAATTAACCATAAAATTTATCAAACTGAAAATACTAAAATAAATTCACTTAATGGAAACATGACAATTGAACAAGAATATGTTTTTTGATATAAAAATATTTGTGCTAACATGAGACTGGTCACCAGGTTGCCATGGCAACTACTAGATCCATTAGGAGTGATGCCATCAAACATAAATGTGTGGAGTTTATTTCTGCTGGGACTTTAACTAAGGTGGATATGTGGGGAAGAACCTAATGCTCACTGTTAAACACGGTGGAGGACGTGTGATGCTGTGGGAACTCACCTCTCCCTCCTTCTGGGATTCTACATAGATGGTCGGGAACGGCTCCTTCCCAGCAAACAGCAGCGCCTGACAGGTTCAGATCACAAACTGGATTTAAGAAGTAGAAACAAAACGTCTACGCCAAAAAAATTAAAATAAATCTAAATACCGCAGGTTTTTTTTTTGTTTTGAATTATTTCAATTCAGTTAAGCTTCGAAGACTGCATCTATTTCAATATAATTAGAAAGAAATTGACTTAAAAATGATTAGATTTAGAAGTTCCCTCATATCAATCCGTCATATATTGGTCTTTGTAACAGATTTGCGGTAAAAATGCGCAGCTCGTTGTCTGCGTGGGGAAAACCTGCCTTCAGGGGAGTTTTGAAGGGTTTCTGCTCCGACCCGTCTCCATCCTGGTCGCTGCCGTGTTTATCAGAGACGTACATCTCAGCTGAGGAACAGAAACAACAGCAGGTTTAAAACATGAACGCAGAGACTCCATGATTTACCTGAAGGAGGTTAAAGGTCAGGCAGCTGACTCTGAAATGCGGAAATGAATCTGAATCATGAACTTGAACAAGGCGGATGACGTGAGGAAATAACTGCTGCAGCGTTTCTGCTCTGATGAAAGATAAAAACTCCCTGATGACAATTATATGAATTTAAGCTGAACACATTTTTGATCTGGATAAAACCAGGCGGTCACATCAGATTTAAACATTTTCCATTTTAAAAAACATTTCCAGACTAAAATTGACCATTTTCTCAACCATTTTTTAATTCAAGATTTTAATTCAAATATTTACACTAAATTTTCCTGTTAGCTCCAAACCTGAACTATGCGTCTGATTTATGGTTGTACCAGAAACACTAATATCCAAAGGTTATTTGGATTTCTGTATAAAAATTAATCTAAATTAACAAATTAAAATCCCAACCCAAATTAAAACGGCTCATTTTAACCAGAATCTGTTTCTATTAGTTACGAAGAAGAACCAGATGAGTAAAACTGAAAGTGAAAGAACGCTAAATGTTGCAACATTGCAGCAGGAGATCTTGACATCAACTCATCTGCAACTGAAACACCAGAAACATTTAACAACTGACTGTAAATAATAATAATAATTTGATAATAAACCAAAGAAGCATTTAGTCTATTCAGCCCCATCCTGAGTTTTAGATTTACACAGTTTTAGATTTACGCTTGGATGCAGAAATGGGGCAATTTTTTTACAGCCTTCATTTTTGATTGGATTCAAAAACCTGAATAAAAGAACCAGCAGTAAACTCAATGTTTGTTGCATTAAATATAGATAAAAAATAAAAACATATGAAAACAAAATGAGAATGAATAAGCAGTAAATAGTGAAAGGGAGAAAAGGGGTCTAAAATATAATTTAATTTCTGGTTTTGAGTCAAACTGAGCTTATATTTACATTAGTCAAGCTTTTGCTCCTCCTTTGCACCATATTCAGAAAATAAGCATCTAAATACAGAAACAACCTGTTTTCCAAGGGATGACAGGTTGGAAACGTTTTAGAATAACTTTTTAGTATATATAATACACTATATTATATATAAGGCCATATGTATATCTTAATAAAATTATATACAATTTAAAAAATGTTAATTTACATTTTTGTAAATTAAGTTAAAAAAGACATTTCTGTATTACATAGATTTATTACACACATACACATTTTAATTGTTTATTTGTGTCAAGTTAGATGATTATCGCCAAAAGAAAAACAGGAAAAAATAACAACAGCTGTAGTTTTCAGGTAACACCGTATGTCTTAAAGTTGAACAGATGTAACCGAAAAACCTTTTTAAATTCCGTTTTTATTAAATTATCCGATTAATGAAAGTAATCTGACTAAAAATGTTGCATTTCCTCCACAGATTGCTCGTCATATTTTATCCCTTTAACCTCCGCACTGCAGAATGACAGCTACCTGAGCCTGAATTAGCTCCCGGTCTTTATTTACGGTTTTCATTCAATCTGTAAGGGAACAATAAGACCAGTTACAGTAAAATAAATCAAACTAGAGACTCACTGATTGATAAAGCAGACATTTAACCACCTTTATCATCGCCATACCAACCCAGACACACACATGTCCCTGCTAACCAGCTAGCTCCCCCTGGACAGGCTCGTTTATCTCTTACCGACCGAGACTTGGTCCACACCTTTAGTTATCTCCGTCGCCATGTCGGCCCACTTCTAAAAACAACTCGCTGAAAGCAAAACGTGGCAACTTTGTATTAATAAAATCTAAATCAGCCGTTAGAAACAAACACCGGCGACGTCTCCGGGCTCCTAACGTGCAACTTTGCATCAGCCTACTGCAGCTTCATAGAAAAGGCGAGACAAACATCTGATTGGTCAGTCTGGAAACGTCACGCATATTACGTTGAATCTGATTGGTTACATTCAATGTCAACAACTGTTGTATTCAATGTTAGCTTGAATTCATACTTAAGGTTTTTCGGAGGAAGATAAACTAATAATGCATGTTTCACGTAAGACACATTTCATCTCAAAATTTAAATTTTAAGACTCCACCTAGATTTTAAAACCAAAAATAATATGACATTTATTTATTTATTTATTTTTTTTTAAGCTATACCTCACAAAATCGAGTTTTTTTTATATCCGTAATTGAACGTATCATGAAGAAAAGAGGCGGAGTTATTGCAGATTTTGTTTTCTGTCAGGTGTCTTGATGCATTCAATTGACATGTAAAGTCGGAAATTTACATGGCAATTGTAAATTTCCGACTTTCCGTTTAAATTTCCGTCACCTGGATCCATCTCAGTATGACTGTTAATAAATGACAGAAAATATTGGTCATTTTCTACAGAGCTGCAAGTACCATGTTACAAATTACAGTTATAAGATAATTTTACACAGAGCTTGTTGAAAATAAGCTTTATAAGTGATAAGGTAATAAAACACACCAGAGCTAAGCAACAGGCCAGAAATTAACATTTAAGATTTAACCCACATTTATTGCAATTAGAAACATTTAAAAGTGCAATGTAAACAATGTCATTCACTTAAAGCAGAAATAAGCAGGTTTAATGTTTGAATTTTAATCCAAAAATGTTTATGTCCACATAAATACAGAAAAAAATTACAGATTTGTCTATAAGGTTAATGTTTTTATATTTTTAAATAAACTACAGTTTATCATGTCTTATCAATGTTACATTGTAAATCTTATATTGTGTCAAATTTTGTTACATTATGTACATTTTCATTATATTGCTTTCATACCTCCATCTCATATCAGATCTCATTTTTTTACTGACTGCTGCTCTGGTTTTTCCCATTTCAGGTCCTATTTGTGGAAAAATAAACTAAAATGACTTTGTCCATTTAAAACAAAAAAAATAAAATAAAATAATTAAACAAACTTTTCCAATGATTTAACATTTTTTCTGTCCATCCAACACATTTCAAAATATTTAGTAATAGAATATATTGATATCAAGGTGGAATATCCATGTTTTTTATTTTTTCACTTACAGCACAATATTTCTGTAGTTTTGATCACTTAAGTGGACTCATGTACTAAACTGATGTCTTTCTGTGTTCAATATTTTGTGTTTAATTTGGTAACTTTTCTTCAGTTTTTCCTTGTATATTTCTTATTTCTTTACATGCTTATGTGTAAAAGAAATAGGAATGTAACTAATGTTGTGTATTTTTACTGATGCAGAACATAAAGGAGAATTATTTTAATCAAATAAATCCCAATCTGACCAATGGTCCCAGATCTGAGCTGAGGCGTTGTCATATAAACCGAAGCCAGGACAGAGTGGTCGGGTGAACGTTGTCTGGACTCTGTGCAGGAGGCTCATGTTGTTGTCAGAGACGCTGTAGAAGGACAGAACACCTGCACTGTGATCCAGGTAAACTCCTATTCTGGATGAAAATGGACCTGAGACTGGAGTTCTGATCCAGTTGTGTCTAAATTCATAACTTTTATTGTAACACTGCAAAGTCCAGGACTTCTTATTGTTTCCAAACGCACTTTCATCACCTTTTCTGCTGATGTCTTTATATGAAACTGCTATAAAAACATCCCAGCGGTTAGACGAAGCTTTCCACTCCACCTCCCAGTAACATCGCCCAGTCAGACTTTCACTACACAAAATCTGAGGCCAGTATGAGAACTTATCTGGGTGATCCACAAGAATGCCATTTATTCTGCAAGAATAAGCCTTTAGTGGATAGTCACACCTGACACACATATTTGCGGTGTTTAAATCTAGTGTAAGGGGACAGGCGTACTGCAGGAACTCCCCTCTGGTCTGAGGTTCTGCCTGTGGAACCAGAACCTCCACGTCGGGTCCAGTAGGTGGAACTGGGCTCCATTCCTCGGTGAGCAGCTCCTCCAGTCTGTCTCTCAGCTCAGAAACCGTTTCCTCTGCGTCTCGTCTGAAGCTCTCAGGCTGAACGTCGGTGCGGGTCGGGTCAGAGGCCTCTCCGAGTCGGGCCAGGGAGCTGTAGTTCTGCAGAAAGCAGATGTGGTCACTGGTCTGCTGCAGCTCCTCCAACATGGCGGCTGTCCTCCTCAGACCCCTGATCTCCTCCTCCAGCGCCTCCTGCAGCTCCTTCACTTTGTTCACCTCAGATTCCTGCTGAGATCGGAGCTGCTGCTTCACGGCGGTGAAGATCTTCTCTGCGTTCCTCAGCGCCTCGTCAGCAGACTGATGGATGTCCTTCTCCACCTGCTGGAGCTTCTCCACCTCCTGCTGTCGGCCCTGGATCCTCCGCTGGACGTCCTGCCGATGCGCCGCCAGCTCCTTCTGCTTGTTGCTCATCTCTGCGGCGGCGGAAAGCGTCTGGTGGCCTTTATGCTCATCCATCAAGCAGAGGTAGCAGATGCAGCTCTGGTCGGTGCGGCAGAAGATCTTCATCACCTCGCTGTGCAGCGGGCAGACGCTGTTCTCCAGCTGCTGGGACGGCTCCACCAGCTTGTGCTTCTTCAGGGCGGAGATGGAGAAGTGAGGCTGGAGGTGCTGCTCACAGAACGACACCAGACACTGCAGGCACGACTTCACTGCTTTCTGCTTCTCCTCACTGCAGAAATCACACAACACATCTACAGAGACAACAGTTTGGATCAAAGTTAGCATAGTTAGCTAAAACTAAGGAAATAATAAAAACTGAAAGAGAAAACATTGGGGTACATAAAAACTCAAGAGTAGCAATATTTTTACTCAAGTAAAAGTAAATAGTAGCCATTCAAAAAATCTACCCAAGTACTGAGTAATGGAACAAATTATCAATCATTTTATATTTAAAAATTACATCATCAGACGGACCAAAATATTTTGGTATTTAAAGACGAAAAAAATATCAAAATCAGACAAAAGAAAATTTTTCCAAATCAGTTTCTTTCAATAAAATAACTTCTGAAGCTTTAACAAAAACTGCAGGTGTGAGTCTGTCTGGTGAATATTTAGTTAAAACATGTTTGTTTTTCATTCAGTGGGTAAAAAAATACAGAAAATTTACTCAAAAGTAGCGATACTTCATAATAAAATTACTCAAGAAGCAGTAAAAATACTCCTAAAAATGTCATTTAAAAAGTTACTCAAGTACATGTAGCTAGTTGCTACCCAACTCTGGTTGTAATGTAAATAGTGTCTAAGTCAGATGGGAACAAGGCGAGAGCTAGCTAGTGGCTTGTTTACTGTTGTCATAGCAACTGACGATGACTCAAAGTTCACGGAGGTGTGACGTCACATGAGCCCATACTAGAAAACACTCTAAAACTAATTAAAATAGTTGAATTACAGAAACAAAAAGTCAGAATGGAACCCGGAGCTGCTCTCACCCTGGCTTGGCTCGTCCGGAGCCGCCGGCGGGCCGCTGCTCCTCCTCCTCTCCTCCACCAGGTCCGCCAGCACGGAGCTCCTCACCAGCACCGGCCTCGGGCTGAAGCTCTGCCTGCACTGCGGGCAGCTGGGGCTCTCCTCCGCGTCCCAGTACCTCCCGATGCAGTTCAGGCAGTAGCTGTGGCCGCAGGGAATCGTTGTAGGATCCTTCATGAGATCCAAGCAGATGGAGCAGCTGAGCTTTTCCTGCTCCAGTTTCAGGCCTGGCTGCGCCATTTCTGAGCTGCTTTCAGAGCCAGAAACCAGGAAGAGGCAGAGCAGCAAGAGGAGGAGCGGGAATAGCGCCCTCTAGGCTTCACAGCCAGAGCTGGGGACATGATTTACTTCAAATAGGACTTTTTTAATCAAGAAAAAAACATACACGTTCATTTTTACTCAGTTTGGAGCGAAATACTTAGTTGCTGACTGAATATCTAATTTTGAGCCAAATAAGTCACCGAGCTAACTAGTTCATTTGTAAGCTAAACATTCAGTTTGGAGCAAAACATTTTGCTTGAAGCTAAATATTCAGTTTGCTAATTAAAATTTGAGGTCTGAGCCTAATTTTCTTTAGTGCCTGTAAGTTGCTTCTGACTTTGTTTCTTGAAGAGCTTGTGGACTTTTTTCTATTACACTTTTTCCTTCCACTTAATTTTCCTATTAATATTCTTAAATACAGCACTTTGTGAACAACTAGCTCAGCTTCATGGACCGGCTGTGGTTTATGATTGTGTAGCCATGACATTTATGTTTAAACTAACGTAATATTAAAATGTAAACATTAAAACTAGCTGTTTAAAACTGAAGCAACCTGGAAGCGCATGCCTTTGAAAACAGATTGTGTTTTATTTACAGCAATTTCAACAGAATTACAATATAAACGACTGACAGACGGAGCGCCCAGTGAGAGCAGCAGGAGGGACGCTGGAGGTCTGTTCTTCTTCTTCTTCTTCTCCTTTGGCAGAAGGAAAAACCCCTCGACTGTTTCTGCAGCCTCTCCTCCACATCCTCCTCTTCCTTCCTCAGTGACTCTCTCCTTTCTTCCCGACAACCTGCAGGGTGAAAACATGAGCACGTCTCAGCTTTAACCCTCAATAAAAACAGGTTTGTTGCTCCGTATCGCAGCTTTGAGCCTCGATAAGAGCAGGTTTGTTGCTCCGTACCCGTTTGAAGTCGTTCATGTTGGTGGCCTGCACCGGAGTGCCGATGAACGTCAGGTAGTTGATCTTTGTCGTTTCCTCATTTCCTTGGTTTGACTTGACAAACAGCTGCAGAAGGAAAACAGGATGAGACACAGCATCATGGTGTCCAAACTGCGGCTCGGGGGCCATTTACTGACCGTTCAGGAGCTTCATACTCCAGGAAATGGAGCTGATGCAGATGGAGTTTGTGTGAGATTTTCAAAAACAAACGTATTTATCAAACTGACCACTGTTCCTCCTACTGCTCTCCGTATCTGTAGTTTCTTTCTGTCCAGTAAACTCACCTGGTCGTATTTCGTTCATTTAACTTTCAGATGTTTTCCTCACCGTGACACTCTGGACGTTCTGAAACTTGACGTAGCGCAGCGGGATCAGCCCGTCGTCTTTGTAGTCTTCCTCTGACAGCTCCAGGGTCTGAGCAGCGTTACTCCGCTCAGCGTCGTCGAAGTCCATCGACCGAGGAAGGTTGATGAAGACCTTCAGGACCTTCGGGGCGCGGGCTGAGGCGAGACGACACCCGGTGAAGGAGGGTCGGGTTTTAAACGCCTCACCTTCAAAACAACTCACCTAAATCTGAACACTGCAGCTTCATGGAGAAAAGCTTCACCGGCTGGTTGAAGGCGATCGTTATCAGCAGCTGGAGAAGGAAACGGTTATCAGTGAAGCAAACAGGAAGTGTGAATCCCACGTCACTCGGGGTCAGAGGTCACCTGCTCGTCGCAGTCGGACTCCAGGCAGGACGAGTCTTTGATTAAGCAGTTGTCGAAGCCGCAGTCGTCGCTCTCGTTGAGACACTCGCAGCCGGCTTTGTTGACGAAGGGCATGAGGTCCATCTGAGCGGCAGACAGAGAGGTCAGAGGTCAGAGCGGGTCGAACCGGTCCCAGTCTCCAGAGAACATTCTTAACTGGTTACATTTGGATACAAACATGTTCCAACATGAAGACACAGCCTGACTTCACTTCAAACTTTTCTTGAGGAAAGGCTCGATCTCCCACAGCGTTTATTTCACTGCAGCTTTTATAACCATCTGCAGAATTTTCATTTGTATTTTCATTTCCTCTGCTTTATTTCTGATCATAGTCACTGAATATAATGAAGGGGCATCACTTAGAGTGTTTTCCACCAGACAGTCCGGTAGACTCGGTTCTATTATTACCACAACTTCATCATCTGCTCCACCTCCAGCTGCTGTGGCTCTGAGTCAAACCAACCTGTTCCCCTCCTGGCCTGTGGGGGCGCTGCACCAAGATCCACTGAAGGAAACGACACAAAAACTTCTGAAGACACCGAGAGCAACTTCCTGCTTCACCAGATGGAAACAAGATGGAGGCAGCAGATTTTAGTGGTTGGAGGATTTCTCCAGACCTTTCCATCACTAGGCTAACACGTTTGTTTTGTTTACCCAGAATGCACTGCTCTATAGTCCACTTCCTGCTTTTGGAGCGGTCTCTGGTCCGCTTGGTGTTCACATATGCATTCAAACCAAACAAGAGTTCACTTCAACCGAACCCAGACCGAAGTCTGGAGGATCAGAGTTCATTATTGTTTTGGTTTGATGAAAAATTCAATCCATAATCGAACTGTAGTTCAGCTAAAGAGGACGGAACAGGCCTGCTGTGAATTCAGCATTAAACATTGTTACAAACACATTTTGGATTTGAATAGGGACCAGAATAATTTCCAGCTTTCTTCAGTCTCCTAGCAACCAGCTCTGCCGAGCAAGGGCGCAATTTGGAGGTGGGTGCACTTCTCCCCCTTGGGGAAGTGGCCCTTATTTTAACTGCTTTTGTTATAATCCCTTTGGCCAGCAGCTCTACAGTAAATCACTGATAAAACCACCAAACTTGAGCTTTTCATATTTCTATTCAGGCTATTTTTCACTCCAAGAAGCTGATTTTTCCATCTGTGTGTCATTTTCCCAAACTCAGAACTCCAGTTTGGACAAAATGCCTCAGATCACTGGTTCTAACTGGATAGGGAGTATTTCAGAACCAGGCCTGGACCCGTGTGGTGGGGTAAACTCACGTATCCCTTGGGAATGTCCGAGTCCTCGTTGTTTCCCGGGTCGTTCTCTGTGTGCTGTTTGATCTTCTCCTCCAGGCCCGCCGCGTCCGCCCCCTGGTACTGGTCCACCCGGACCCGGTTCCTGAAGAACAGGAAGGTGGGCGTCGCTGAGATGTTGTTGGCTCCTGCCGTCCCCTGAGGAAACAGAAAAACAACTTTTCTTTCAACCGACTTGAGATCTCAGTTTTAAAAACAGGATTAATGACGTCAGAGTTTTAGCAGGAAAATCACCTTCAGATCCAACATGTAGAACCTCAACTGGTTTAGTTTTAGACCAATTTATTCATTTTAAAACAACTTTGGATGAATGTTTGGGATCATACAGAAATAAAAGGCTTGATAACATTTAGATGAACGTGGAGATGTTTACCTGACAGACATGAACGTCGACCTCCAGGAAAACCACATGTGGGTATTTGTTGCTGAACATGTTAAAAGCCGGAGATATTCTGATGCACGGCCGACAGCTGAGGGAAGAGCAGAACATCAGAAAACTCTTCATCGTTCCCCTTCAGAGCCAAAAATAATCAATTCAGTTCATTTCGGGTCAGTTTCAGAAAGTTATGGAAACTAATCTGTTTTAATCTGAGCTAGCAGGATGTAGATATGAACAGCATGAGGAGGCAGAGTAAGAGTAGCACTACTTCAATATAATTTTACTCAAATAAAAGTAAAAAAGGATCCATCCAAGAAATTACTCAAGAGTAAAAAGGTATTTGGTAAAATGTCTACTCAACTACCAATTGATAAAATTATCATTTAATATTTAAAAATTACATCATCAGATGGACCAAAATATAAAGTTAAGTGGAATTTTTTGGTATTTTAAGGACCAAAATTACAATAATTCAAATATGACAAAAAACAGTTTCTTCGACAAAAACTGCATGTCTGGTGATACTTTGGCTAAAACTTGTTTGTTTTTCATTCAGTGGGCAGAAAATCCAAAAATTTTATTCAAGTAAAAAACACAGAGTAGTAAAAATACTCCTGAAATTACATTTTTCAAAAACGTTACTGAAGTAAATATAATGGAGTTGATGTAACTAGTTACTACCCAACCCAGAATTAGAGGGAGCCCAGGGTGGAACCTGGAGGTACTGAGTGAAAAACCACTGCTTGTACATGAAATAGCGCCCCCTTCAGTTCCGGTGTGAAATGGTGCCGGTTCCAAGTATGGTAATGGTCTGACCAGATTCTGATCACTCAAAAGAGAAAAAGTACTGTAATAAACTTAACAGTTGCTGGAAAAGGTATTCAACCAATGCTGTAGAAATTTATACGTCCACACTATTTTAGTTTTAAAGTAGATCCAGTTAAGCTGGAAGCGTTTTAAGCCACATTACAGGTGGAAGAAGTTCTGAAACTAGGATTGATTTGACTATTTTCTTATAATGACAAACATAAAATAACATATACTGGAACAGCGTTACACTGTTCCGGTTATTGTTAATATATTTCTATATATTGCATCAGAACCCTGTGATTACAGCGGTGCTACACCTCAGCAGCTAACTTACTGCAATATTGCCAAGTCATTGTAAGCAGCAGAGCTAGTTAGCCTCCATCGGCTAACAGCAGTATGAATCTGGGAGAAAATCAGAGTTACTCCAGCATCCAGCTGGTTTTACTTTTTAAATCCTGGTCTTCCACGTCTACATGACCCACACACAGAGCCTCGGTAGCTGCAATCAGCCCGTGTGAAGAACCTTACCCAGCCATTGTGAACTTCACCACGGCTAGCCTGGAGCCGGCGGCCGCTAACTCCGGCTGGAAGTCCGGGTCGCTGCCGATCACTTTAACGCCAACCATGGTCCGGTTCTGGGCTGGGGTCCGAGCCTGATCCTCCGGGAGATGTTCAGAGCAGGAGACCGGGCAGCCTGGTGGGTTAAACGCTTTTGTTTTTAGCTTTCTGTCACAAAATTAGCTCAGCTGTACACCATAGGAACACAATGCAGCGTTAAGAATGGAGACTCCTGATTGGTCAATTCCTGACAGGAAAGGCGGAGTTTGTTCTTCTTCTTTGGTTCGTCATTCCTCTTTGCTGCCCTCATGTGGAAACAGAACATACAGTTTTCATTAAAACTTTCGACCAGTCAGGTCATTTGAGGCTGGTGGGTGTTTTTAAAACCTTTTTTGGTTCCGTCATCTACATTTATCTTTGACTGAAATTTATGTAGTTCATAATAATAACTAGAAAACTTCAAGATTTTTGTATGGTTCCTTTGGTGTGTTGCACTCATGATTATTATCTATATTTTGTTTCTTAGCTAGACTGCAGGGTTTTTTTTTATTTTAAACCCCATTAAGGATCCTTTAAAATTATTAAATAATAAATAAGCATAGAGTTTCTATGAGCTTTATTTTTGAAGTCAAACAGATTCATTTTACATTGTCTCATGTAGCTAGATTTAGGTTACCTGTTAGCTCAACTATGATTAGCCATTAGCTTGATTGTAATTAGGTGTTAGCTTCCCTCTGAGTTCCTAGTTGAAGACTTAGCTTGTCTCTAATGAATTGCAAGCTTGTCTCTGAGTAGCTGCTATCTACACTTAGCTTTAATGTGATTAACTGTTAGCTTAATTGTGAATAGTTAGCTTGTCTCCAAGTTGCTCCTTTTAAGACTTGAGTTAACTGTTAGCTTGTCTAATAAATCGCTAGCTTGTCTCTGAGTAGCTAACATCTAGAGTTGGATTTATTGCTAGCTTCACTGTGATTATCTGTTTGATTGTAAGTAGTTACTTGTCTCTGAGCTGCTGGTAATAAGACTTAAATTAACTTAGCTTGACTTTAATTTTAAAAATACTTTGAATAGTTAATTGAGTTTACTGTCCTGTTTGATAACTAAGATTTACTGAAATTATTATTATTTTTTGATAAAGTGCCTCGAGATGATATTTTGTTAGTTGAAAACCTGAATTGAATTATTCTGATATTATTTGTATAATATGTAATCAATCAATTAACCAAACCAAGTGACATCATTACACTTAAAAAATGTTGGTTATGTTTAATTTCTTATGGTTCAAAAGCAGCTATAAACAGCTGGGTTTTTCCCTTTTTTGGCTGTTTTTACAATTTTCAGGAAATTTGTTTCAGGTTTGAGGTGCATCCTTCATGTTTGGTTCTGGTTTGTTCTGCAAAGTGAACCAGAACCAGATATGGAAAGACACACTGTGATGCTATTGTGGCAAACAATTGTGAAAAAATACTGTCTATTTCACACGGCCTCACGGTTAAAAACAAAAAATGAACTGTCCCTTTAAATCACCATGGAAACAGAGAAGCGCTTCTTTCGCTAAAGAGCTTGGAAATCCGAGGTTACGTGAAGACCTTGAAGGCATCTTGAGCGTCGGTCCCCCACCCCTGAAGCGAGCGGGGCCACATCCGTCAGAGCCGCAGCTCTCTCGGAGGTTTTCATCCCGCACCGCCACCGCACGGTCCTCCGCCTGAACCCGGTTCCTCTGCGCGGATCCTCCCGTCCATCCGAACCGGGGGAGCGATGCGACGTCCCGGAGGAGAGAGCAGCGGAGACCAAGCGGCCAGGCAGCAGCGCACACCTGTGAGGAGCATCTGACTTAGTTTCCACTAAAGAAAGGTGAGCGGCAGAGAGAAAACAGGAGGTTTCTGGCTGTGTGTGTTTTTGGGTTCTGCTCGGCGACGCGTTTCGGTCGTGCCCAGCCCAGCATCAGTGACTGGCAGGCGGGATGAGTCATAGCCTGAGCGGCGCTGCTGCTGCTGGAGGAGCGGAGCTCCGCAGCCTGAGCGGCTTCATTATCAGCTGCTGCTTCACATGCAAAGCGGCTCACAGTTTGCATGAAGTGTGGGAGGCAGAGATCCACAGATCACACACGAAACAGAAATGTTCAGTTTGTGTTGCGCATCTAACTTGGAATCTACATTTAATGAAACTTTTTCAAACATGGATGCATATAAATACTTTCAAATGGGAAGAAGACAAGGCAGGCAGTGCTGTTTATTCCAGTAGCTGTAAATAAGCATATAAAGGAAAGTTAAGTGGAAGGAAAAAGTCTGTTCCTCGGTATGTTTTAGATCCAACAGGCTTCAGCAGATAGAGTAGAATATACTTTATTGATCTCAAAGGGGAAAATTGATTATTTGTTGACAAGGTGATAAATGTTAGTAAAGACAAACATACAATATAAAATTTCTATAAACCAAACTGCAGGTGCATCTTAATACTTTCAGAACCAGGAAATGCAATTTTTAAAGAAGCAGTTTGTTCCTGTAGCTGCATCTAAGCTTTTGAAAAGACAATTAAAAGGAAAGAAAAAGTGCTTACAGTGATGTATTTGTGTGAAGCAGTCCTGTTCCACGTTGCTCTGCGATGTTTCATGTTCATATTGATGCGTCATTATTAACAAGCTGCAGCAGATCCAGATCTCAGATGTTTGAGTCGTTTTCATTCATGTTGAAAATCTAAAATACGAAGAATTAATGAACAACAAAATGATTCCTGGATGTTTTAAATCAAACAGCAGGCGCCTACAGATAAATTAGAATATCACTGAACAGTTAATTAGTTCAGTAAAGAAGCCCACTGTTCAGAAAGCTTTCTCTAGGCATTTTAATGGAAAGTTGAGTGGAAGGCAAACAACTGAAACAACTTTGTTTCCTGGTGGTCATAAATGGAACTGCAGGTGCATCTAAATCAATCAGAAAATAATTTAATAGTTAATTAGTTCAGTAATTCAATGCAAAAAGTGATGAAAAGGTTTTGGTTCATTTTTTATGATTTTTTTGTGTGAATTGTCTCAGAAGTCGTTGCAACGTTGACGCTACTTTCTCACATCAAACGAAACTCGTTGGTGTTTTCTTTATCCAGCTGTCCTGTCGTGACCTTTAACCTTTCAACCTGCTGAGTCGCTCGGTGATAATCTGGCGCTGCGAGCGTCCGAGGCGTTTTGCAGACCTTTAGCTCTGTTTCAGATCAGGCTGTTGCCGTGGCAACGCGTTTAAAAACCAGAGGCTCCCGTCCCATTGGAGGTTTTTATCGTCTGGTGTTTGGCTCTGATGATCCTGGGTGACCTTTAGGCTGGAGGACGTGACCTTTCCCTCAGTCTGACTCCGCCTCCTGCGGAGTATTGACCAGGAGCAGCGGGGCGCGTTAAGACGGAGGAGAGCCTCACCGGGTTTCCTGCAGCGAGGATCTGGCAGCAGAGCCGCGATTTGGTTAAAGAGAAACTGATTGGCAGAGAAAACGAGTCTCCATCCAAAAAAACAAAAACACTTCCTGATCTAATCATCTCAACTCATGGAATTAATTTACATCAGTTAAAAACTGGAATGTTGACAAACTTGGTGAGAATTTATTGGGATTTGTTCAATAAATTTCTCAGAAATGTAAATATCTGAAAAGTGTGGCATGTTTTTGCTGCTCTAGTTCAGTCAGATGGGATGGAGAACATCTGAACATTCATTTTCAGTGCATACCATATATTACTTTGACTAGGCCATTTTAACCTGTGATTCTGCTTTTCTCCAATGCTGTCCTTGGGTTTCCACATTTCAGAGGGCGGCCATCTTGTTTGACATGCATACTTTACAGTTTCTGTTTATTTAGACTTTGAATTCAGGTCAACTCTACACTGAATATATAAAGTTACCATGATAAGAAAGCAACCAAAAAAAACAACATAAATGGAATGTATTGTGAAAAAATGAGATTTTACTTTTAGGCTCTGTGCTACATCCCACTGCCACTCTGCAGGGACCAGATGATTTTTGTCAGTTATCTCTATTTATCACAGCAGCTGCATTTCCGTTACAAACGTGCTCAAAACTTTGACAATATTCCACTGATGTCGAAAAAACTGAACTTTGCAATTGCTTATTTAGATTGGGTTGTTTATTTAGATAAGAGACACAATGTAAATAAGTTTATTTACATAATTAAAAACATGCAGCGCCATCATAATCCAACCACTTCCTGTTTGTCTTCTTTGTCGTTTCCACCAGTAGTAACATCCTGTCATTGATCATGTGACTCGTTTGATGCGTTTCTACTGCATTTTTGCAAAATACACAAATCCAAGTAAAACTAAGATGAGCTGAAAAACCACCTCATGTTGGAGCAAAAGGTTTTTATTGAAAAACAATCGTTTTTCTAAATCAATGTGTTTCTTTTAAATGAATTTAATTATTTTGTGTAATTTCACAGTGAATAGAAAAGCAGCTGGTGAGCCTCTGGTTTCCTCTCAGACCCGTTGTTTTGTCCTGGTTCTGTTTGTTGTTTGGGTCCAGGTTGATCATGTTGAGGTTAACAGCAACGTGTTTCTGAGCCGCTCAGTCTTTCTCACCTTCAGCTGGGAGGAAACAAGGAAACCTGAAAAGCCTTGACTTATTTCCAGCGGAGCCATTTAGAGCGAGTGTGCAGTAATGGACGCAGTTTGGGAATAAAAAGCAAATGAAACGGTTTTATCTGTGAAGAGAAGGAGCAGATAATCCTGGTGGTTCTGAAGCTCTGAAAGCTTTAAAAGATCAATAACGACGGCGATGATTCGGACAGTAAATCAGTTTAGCATCACATTCTGTCCACGCTGCTTTTATTCCTGCTCATAAATATCAGGATTACAGCGATTTATGACGGACGGCTTCGCTCTTATGACGTTGATTTATTAACAGCAGGACAAACCTGTGATGTCCAAACATCAAGCTAATCTATATATGAGGGAATATTTGATGTTATTAGAGGTATTTTCAATCTGATATCAATATTTTCCATATATAAAATAAAACCCTCCAGTCTAGAAGTGGAAATAACATAATGGGATCAGTCAGAAAACATTACAGAATAATTGGAAAATGCCAAAAATAATAAAATAAAAACTAATTGTGTTTTAACGGTTATGTGTTTTTTATTCTTCGGAGCCAAACTTGAAGTTGAACATTAAATCTGATGAGCTGCTCAGTCATGGTTTGTATTTAGTGGAGCAGATAATTGAATGTTTCAGAAACATCTTTCACATGCAGATAAAAGGATCTCACCTGGTACAGATGCTCCAAGGAGAAGTGAAAAAAAAAAACATTAGCCACTGAAAAATTCAAGATGGCCGCCGTGGTCATCAAGGAAGCTAATGATTGAAATAAAATCCCAGTTATATGAATCTGTTTGGTGTCAGATAATTTAAATCATAGGAATCATAAACATTTTCTTGATGTTTCCTTTATCTGGTGGAAAATGGCCGTCATGGTTGTAATGGCACTACAACCACACAGCTAACCACAAAGTTTGGTTCACTAACCACTAATCGTTAAACATATTAGCTAAACTAATGCTAATCTACTAAACACATACAATTGACCAGAAGCTAGCGCTAAACCATAAAACACATTAAAACATTTGCTTGGTCCGATAATAAACACAAAAACTCACTGGAAGCCAACAGTAAACTGCTAAACAAATAGAAAAATTAACGGAAACTAACGCTAACCTGCTAACACACATAAAAGAATTAATGCTGAACCGCAAAACCCGTAAAATAATTGTGGAAGATAATTGTAAGCACACAGACATTACTGGAAACTAACTCTAAACTGCAAAACACATAAAATAGTTTATGGAAGTTAACGAAGAATCGCAAAACACAGAAAAATTAGCAGAAGCTAATGCTAAACTGCTAAACATTTTTTTAAATTTTGCAAAGCTAACGCTAACCATTAAGTCTCTCCGTCTGTGTCGTCCATCTTCTTCTACTTCCAGTTCACTAATTATATGAGACTCACAAATATAAATATAATTATTCTGGAAAATATGATTTAGTCCAATAACTATTTGCTGTTTCCTTCCTAAATGCACCTGGTTCTTTTGTAGCCATAGAGCTGGTGAGGAAAATGGTGTGATGGTTGCAGAAACCTGTGCTGATTTACTTCACCTGATTTATTGTCGGGTTTCGCTCAAATGGCAAATGTCAAGCCAACAGCGACTCTCTCCATCACGGCAGGAAACTGTCCAGCTTCCAGTGAAATGGAAACAATCTTCACATGTCGGGTAATTTGTGTCTGTGCAATAAATGGAGGCAGCAGAAATAAATTGCAGCTCATCAATAATTGAATGCAGCAGCGGCTGCAGGACCTCAGTGACGTCACACGGGGAAACATGCATATGGGAGCCAAACAGCAGAACATTGTGAAGCTCAGCTCATGTCTGGATTCCTGGAAACCAACTGATGCTGTGATAAATCATGTGACCTTCCAGCTGGTTTGGAAGAAATAAACAAGACTGAGGTTATCAACGAGACGAAGAACTGCAACTTCCAACAACATCAAACAAATGTAGAAGTTCTTCTGCTAGATTCTGGAAGGTGATCCAGAAGGAGATGTAGTTTGTTTTCCCACCTGATGGTCCAGCAGAGTCGGTTCGATTGGAAATAAAAACTGAAACATTTGTTCCAATTTAAGCTGCTGCAGTTCTTTATCAAACCAACCAAACCCTCTGAGCAGCCTGTTCCCCTCCTGGCCTGTGGGGGCGCTGCACCAACAACCACTGAAGGAAACGACACAAAAACCTCTGAAGACACTGAGAGCAACTTCCTTCTTCACCAGATGGAAACAAGATGGAGGCGTCAGATTTTAGCG